AAAACACACCCCTGGGTCTGGCTCAGCACCGCTGCTCACGCTGGAGAGGCAAGAGGCAGCTCACGGTGATCTCAACCCTTTGTATTTCCTTGATCTGATACACTAACGCTGTCCCAAGTACAAAGATAGCAAGGGAGTAATTACTGTGATATCGTAACGGCGGGCAGCCTGGGAGGGAAAAGCTTCTGATTAGGCAGGACTCCTAATCAGCTGCGGCCCTGGGCTCAGGCTCAGCCGAAATGAAACAGAATCTAATACCTTGCAGGAAGAAATAATTTTTCCTCCTGATCGCGTGTTAGAACTCTTCGAAACAGCTTGAGGAGCTGCTGGTTATCAGTGCTGGGTCTGTCCCAGCCAAACCACAGGTGACCAGACTTTGGAGCCACATTTTGGGCTCAACTAGCCCTTGCGCACACCCCACCCACACCAGGGACACCCCAAGGACAGCCCGGCCCTGCACAGCACCCCAAAAAAGCGCTCAGCTCAGCCTCATAACCGCCGGGTGCATTTCTAAATTAAAGCTGGCATTTTGCAGGCAGGATGTGACAGGCAGCACGGCGGCAGGTGCCTGGTGCCGAGTTTGCTGCCAGTGTGGGAGCTGGAGACGGCGTTGAGCAAAACCCAGGCACCGAGGGACAGCCCCGCCGCCCTCCCTGCGCCATTTCAGGGTGCGGATTTTGGCGTAGGCACGGCTGCAGGGAGATTTTTTTTTTTAATTTTTTTTTTTTTTTCCCCAGGATGATGCTGCTGCATCCACCCACCTTCAAATCCCAGGCAAAGGGCGGAAAAATAAAACAACACAGAGCAATCCAAGCGTCCCTGAACACGAGCAGATGTGCAGAGTCCACAAAAACCAACTTTTTAAAAAATACCTAAAGGACATCCAGGAAGGCACCGCTGCCCCCAGCATCCACGTGCAGGCTGGACTGGTGTCTGAGGGCTCCCCCAGCCACGGGGGGCACACAGGTGGGACAGACAGACGTCCCCTTTGCCCCTCACCCTCCATCCTTTCGAACCCAAAAAACCTTTCGGGGCAGCTCTGCCTCCCCACACCTGCGTGTTTCCAGCAAAGGCCTCCCCTTCGCTACACCCCCCCTCCTGATGGATGTGTCCATCTCTCCAGGGTTGGATTTAAAACCTAAACTCTGTAATTATACACAAAAATTGCTGAAAAAACAAATTGCTGAAGCTATGGCAGTACGGAGAGCAGTCCCTCTCCGAGCACCAGGGACTGGGGTGCCCAGTGCAGGGGCTGCCGGAGCACCCAGCGCTGCCGAGCCAGGTCCTCACCCACCCACCCCAGTGAC